TCTAACAACGTTACTACCGCTCTCTTGGCTTATTCTCATTCTCTTTTCCGTGTTCCGATGAGGTCTTCGTAAATATGTGCAGTGTTGGAAAAAATAATAGAAACGTACAGCTTTCATATATTTTTTATGGTCTGAAGAACTCTTTAATTTCAAATACATTCCCATTTCGTACATTTTGTTTACGTTAATTAAAATCTAGACTTCGTTTGCAAGTGCAATAAGCCATAAATAAATTGTGGCCCATTTTTTTAATTTTGGCCTGGAAGAAATAATAGAAATAAAGTATTATCTCTAAATAAATTAAACTTTGAACCGAAAATTCTTACAAAAAATAGTATTGTTTCAATAGCTTGCCTGATTACCTCTTCGCATATTCGGTGCATCAAATTAACCAAGTTTGCACAAACACTTTTCGGAATTGAATACCCCGTGATTTTAGAATGCGGCGCCACAATTCGTCTTTATTGCTGGCTTTAAAAGGCCCGATTCTCTTCGTTAAGTCTGCCCAAAGGTGTCCAATGGAGTTGGGGTATGGCGATTGAGACGGCCACTCCATAACTTGCACTTTTTCCATCTTGAACCACTACTTTACCAGTTTCGATGCATGTTTAGGATCATCATCCTGTAGTAACTCCCACCGCAATGGCATTTCCTTTTTAGCAAAGAGTAGCCTTATCGTCTGTAATATGTTCACATAGTCAACCGCGCACATTTTGTTCTTTATGCAAAATATTGGACAAACGCCTTCCTCCGGGAAACAGCCCCATACCATAATGGAACCCCCGCTGTGCTTAACCGTCTTTTTTCGTGTATTGTGGATCAAAGGCTGTGTTCTAGAGCGTTTCTATCTGATCCAAACATATTAATTTTTGTTCATCAGACTACAGCACATTTTTCCAATTTTTACGGAAAAGATGTTTTCTGCAACATTGTTTTTTGTTTTAGCTCATCAATAGTACCCTACTAGGGATTCTGGCTGGAAGTTTTCTTCTGCCAATAGTTCGGCTTGTTGCATCTAAATTCAAGTCTGTTTTCAGCTCTCTTGAGGACAGAAAAGTGTTAGCTTTGCAATGTCGAATTAAACGCCTTTGATCGCCAGCAGTCATTTTTCGGTTTCTACGTCGTGTTTCTATTTTTCTTTTACGCTATGAAGGACAGTGAACATCTTCTTTTTGGAACACCATATCTGCTATTTTACTCATCGAATTTCCTTGTTTTCTTAAACTTATTATGCAATTCTTCTCCTATTCCGTGCAGTGTTTAGCTCAGCCCATTTTATTATTTTTTATGTTTCAGTAACCTATAGTAAAACGCAATTAGAAGCGTAAAAAAATAAATAATTTACCTTTTAGAAAAGCAACAATACCAACAAACACGTTTTGTTTCTATTATTTTTTTCCAACTATTCAATTGTTCACTCTCTCGCACATAAAGTGAAAATGAGACAAAAGAACAACCGCTAACTGATATTTGCACAGGGTGCGCCATTCTAAGAAATATATTTAACTAATAATAATAATAATAATAATAATAATAATAATAATAGTATATTGGCGCCTACACATAGTTAGTATTTGGCCGAGCTTCTCCTCTGATTTGTCGGCGTGCGCCTTGATGTTGTCACACAATGGGGAGGGACGTAAAGTTTTGCACCGACTCCGAACGGCGATTGTATTTTTATGAGAAGCTATTTTCCATGGCAGAAATACACACGGATGGTTTGCCATTTCCTCCCGAGGGCGACCGCTGTTAAGAAAAAACCTTTTTTCTACATGTTTTTTCGATGTTGCTTTGACCAGGGCTTGAACCCAGGCCCTGCGGAGTGGAAGCGCGACATGCTATACCACTACACCACAGTGTTGATATAATTGATTTAATATTTTTCAATGAGTTTTTTCTATTATTTTTTCCAACACTGTATGTATGTACATACCAATATGCGTTCACCATTTGAACATTAAGAAATACATAGTATATACATTAGGCATATGACTTTTCTTTGCGAAAAACAACAAAAATAATGTTTTTGGGTCAATTCGTCAAAAAATAAAAAAATTCCGCAGGAAGTCCACTTCAGTTTTATTAAATTTATTTCAATTAATTTTAAATGTATATTAATAAAGGCTAGTATAAATTATAAATTTAAATACATTAATTTTAACATCAACAAAGTATGCGGCGCTTTGCAGGTATAAAATACATCTGCTGGTTAACAATAGCGGATTCCTCCTTTAACCCAGTATCTTAAAAAACAGTTGTGTGCCTTTCTAATCTGAAGGACAGATTTTTCAACGAACACAAAACAGTTTTCATGCAAGCGGTGGTCAGAGAATCAAAGATTATACGCATATAAATTGACAGACTGGAAGCAAATGAGCTTTAAACTTTGGCAAGAGAATAAAGGCTAAAATGGCAAGAATAGCTCTCGAGTGTATAGTCACGGCTGTAGGTCCTATAATAGTAGTTACTATGGCAACTAATTCAGCCACTAATTTTCTGACATTTTAAAAATTACTTGAGTATGTTAATCAGCCCTGTCGTGGTAGTTCTTTTTGTCCGGTTTCGTGTTGTTTTTTTTTTTTTTTGCTGAACATTTTCTGATACGTAGCTGATTAAATCCCTTATGAAATACAATAAAGAGCGTTTACTATTTTTTGAGTTATACCGGAGAAAATAAAGTACCTAAATTTTATTTAAAAAATTTCTTTTCCAAAAAAAATTATTTCTGATTTTAGCCAATTAACCATCATTTCACATGTAAAGTTTCAGCCTGAATCAGAATATGGAATCAAGTTTAATGCAAGTAGAACAAGTTTTACAGCTATAGCTGAACTCCGGTTTTATCAGGTTTAAAAAAAAGTCAATTCACTAAATTGCAATTACCTTCAGACGTGGTTAGCGAATTTCTTTCCCTTAAAATAAAGCCAATTGTATTTCGTATTCAAGTTGTATACAACACTTTTCATTAAACGGTCGTCCTTGAGCTACTTACGATATTGCTCAGAATTTTGCAAAAAAAAAAACTATTATTATAAGTAGGTTCAAACTTTTCGATAGGACTCCTACGTGGGTTTTTGAAAAATTTTCTTAAATTAAGATCATACTCGCGATTTTTATATAAAAACTCATTGCATGATGCCACGTAGATTTAATCTTTCCAAAAAAAGTTGAAAAGTCATATGCCTAATGTGTGTACATGTGTATGCACATGTGTGGCCCAAATTCTAGAGAAGTCACAAAGTCCCTATAATTTTGCGGAATGGGGATTGGCCGTTTTTCTATTTTTTTTTTGTGTTGCGATTTTGTTGTTGTTTGTGGCTAACTAATTCTGGAAGATATTGAAGATGGGGAACCAGTTTACTCTTNCAAATTCTAGAGAAGTCACAAAGTCCCTATAATTTTGCGGAATGGGGATTGGGCGTTTTTCTATTTTTTTTTTGTGTTGCGATTTTGTTGTTGTTTATGGCTAACTAATTCTGGAAGATATTGAAGATGGGGAACCAGTTTACTCTTCGCCATTATTTATTTTGCATGGTTAACTGTTCTGCATTGGGTACCGTTCGATGGACGGTTGTTTCGGCTACTCACTCGAGGATGACAACGTATCATTTGGGCTAAGCCAATACCAGTTAAGCAGCAAGCAATTCCAAGTTATCAACTACTGCGGCAGTAGGTACACGAATTTTATGGAGGCTTAAACAATTTAAGATGTATAGATATGTTTGTATGTACATACATAAATATGTATATACAATTTGTATATGTATGTATGTACATTTTTAATAGGCATTGTTGCATACATACATTCGTGTATGGAATGCTACCGATTTGTAGATAACTAGGTGCATGGATTAAAAATCCACCTGAGGGCACAGATGTCACTCACCACATAGTGCANCATACAATTTGTATATGTATGTATGTACATTTTTAATAGGCAACGTTGCATACATAGTACATTCGTGTATGGAATGCTACCGATTTGTAGATAACTAGGTGCATGGATTAAAAATCCACCTGAGGGCACAGATGTCACTCACCACATAGTGCATACACTTATGTGTTGTGCAAACCTTTTCACCGACTTTTTTTAACCTGGTAGAATTTCGTAAGTTAATAAAAAAATATATTTTTTTTTATAATGTGGTAACAAAAACTATTAAATCAAAGTTTGAAAATTTGTAAAAAATTTAGAAAAATTCATCAAACTTTTTAATTACAATTTTTAGGAAAATTTCGTGTATGTAGTTTTATAGCCCATACAAAAAATGCGTTACATGGAAAAAACTGCAAAGATTAAAATTTTTATGAAAGTTTGATGAATTTTTCTTAAATTTTTTCAAAGTTTGAAACCATTATTTATGTTGTTTTTGTTACAGAGTGAACTTTGTACATTAAAAAAAAAAATCTTTTTTTTATTAATTTATAAAATTCTACCTAATTTTTTTAAGCGTGGTACGGTTTGCTTGGCCAAAGGTGTACATATGTAGGTATCTTCAGTGGCATACGATGAATTTGAGTGCAACTCAAGGGTCCACTAATTAAAATATTTACTAAAGCTTACCATACATGTAAGCAATGGGTCTTGAAGTTTGTTCGAGATAATACAACTTTTTAACATATTCATGGAATTGAACCGCGTAATGGACACTTTCCCCTTACATACCCATAAATAAAAAATAGAATGAGACAAAAACAAAAAAAGATTAAGAATGCATAATTGTGCATGTGTGTGTACTATGTACATACACATACGCACGACCCGGTAACAGCAGGGTTTGATGCATTGAAGTAGTCGTCAGCTTCACTATACGGACTTTAGCTAAAACCACAACGCCAACGGCAGTGACTGCCACGACGTTCATTTTCTCGCCGCTCGTTTTGTATGCGATATCACGTAAATAAGGTACTAACTCGTTAGATCCATGTCAGCATGTATATATGTATTTACATTTCTACATAGGTATTCGTTTACTAATAAAAAAATTTAGAAACCGCACCTTCACAATCTTATGGCTGCGCTGTACACTTAATTCCATATATATTGTATATCCTTCTAGAGATTTGTGCCTTCCCTCCTTGCCTTTAAAATCGGGGTCGATAGTTAGGCACTTTAAGATTGTGATTTTAATCTCTCAGGAATTTAATAGTTTTCATTATTCGCGGCTTGACACTTCATCACTTTTTGGTGTATTCCATCGATTTCACTGAGTATGTATGTGTATGTTATTGCGCACAAGTATTCGTTTTGGAATATAGATGTAGTTGTTACATCAACAATACCCGTATCTGTACACTCTTATCCACACTTAGGTTTCTTTCATTCGCTGACCAACGTTTGTTATAAAATGCATATGTATAGTATACACAGCTTCGTTTTGGTGTATGTATACGTGTGAACTTTTAAGATCTCTTTAATCCAGTACACTTACACCATACGATTTTGCGAAGAGCTCACACAACAAATCCGACCGAAAGTCAACAGGTAACTGAATCGTTGAAGTCAACGCGATCGGCACTAGCTTGTTATGGCTGCCGTCACACCGTCAGCTCTGGAATGTAGGCAGGTTCTTGGCCGACGTGGTTTTGACGGCAGCTCAAAGCCGCTTTACTAGCTCACAAGCAGCCCAGAGACTCACAAACAAGTTGAATGGGTAAAGTGAGCAGTTCTTTAGTGTCTCGTGAGTGGCGGCTTTGTGATATGGAAAAGTAATTGTGCTTCCAATTGGAATCTACGCTCAATGCGAGCGCAAACACCTGTGAGCGTGTGGTATTGTGTATTGTGCGGGACTTCGCTCACCTTACCTTTGCAATTGCATTGTTTCTTATTCATTTTGACATCGTTATGATATTTTATATAACACTCTAAACTCTCTCTCTNATGTTACAATACTTTCTATTAAATACTAGAAGAATGTTGGCCAAAAGTACAATAGTTACGTACATAGGTAGTAGATTAGTTAATGTGCTCATTTATATTGAGGAGATTTTCAACTCTATTTTTGTAATTGTATAGGATTAATATTTACTCTTGCGTAAAGATTCCCAAAAAATCTTGGGTAACACTACTGCATTACAGGGAAAAGGTTGTGCAAAAACTGATAAAACATAAATAACGAAAATCGGGTTTTTGAAAGCATTAAATTTTTTGCGCTCATCTACTTTCATTTGCACTCTATCATTAGATGCTATCGTCCTTACATT